CCGCACTATATAAAGAAATTTACCTACGTATTTTTCATTTACCCTTCGGCATATATCACCGACCATCGGTGCTCCCCTTCGGCGTATTTTTTTCTTTCTACGTTCTACGTTTTTCTCTCATCTTCCGATGCCTTCTGTTGTCGTATGTAATCTCATACCACCACAGTCAATCATCCCATTATAGCGAAAAGGGTGCCTATTTGTCGAGTTAAGATTAATTCGACCATTGTTAAGGCTACGAAGGCTGAGTGAGCTTCAAAGGATCTCAGACCTAATTTTCTTTTCATCAAGTCGGTAACTTGCACGATTGCTCTGTTTTATTAATTTTCTATTGCATGCACTTTTTTTTTTTAAATAAGGGATTTATCAATTAATTAATTTTTTTCCCAGTGTGAAGTTGGTTTACGTTTGTCCGATCTTGCCTTTTCGTCCACTACTACGAAGGCTGAGTGATAATCAAATAGTCCGATCTTGGGTAGATTGTACAATATTCCTGTATTTTTTTACTTTTATCGTTGATGGATATGATTGGATCCTCTCAGAGGAGACTGAGCTTTACCGGTATACTATCTGAGTATTCTCATTGCTGGCCGACTGTAACGAAAAACCCTGTCATATTTTCGACTATATGATCGTTATATTTCTATTAGTTCTATATATTAAACTTAGTAATTTGTTATTAATTATACAATCTGAAATATGCATTTAATTTTGTTTGATTCTGACTATGTAAAATCAACAATGAAGCAACAAATCTGTCTGTATTTATAATTATGGAGTACATATGTCTTAATATTATGTGTATCTTTTTTTTTATGGACATAAACAGACAGATTTGATAAATATGGTCGGAATAATAAATATGCATCACATAAGTGACCCATGTACAATGATACTACGTATATCTCAAATGTGAGATGTTCTGTAGCACCATGTCACACATTATGAAATGAAGACCCGTGTTTTTTTAAAGCTTTAAGCAGAATAGGCTGGTAGTATCAAAATCTACTCTTTTACCTGTTATATGATATATACACCTGATTTTCTTTGTATACACAATGATTGTAGTTTTTAGTTTTTATTAACATATCCGTATTAACATTTACGTATGTGGATTTGAAGTCTTTCCCATTATAAGTGAACTGTTTTCCCATTATGAACCTACACGCACATGAATGACTATCTTGCGATGATGTCTCAGGATACACACATTGGTAGTCCTTAATGAAAGCATTTCTTACCTGTAATGACAACAAATTTTCAATACTTTTCTCATTTGAATTGAAGTATTAGTACACACATCGGTAGGCATTCATGAAAACCTACATGTCTTCACATCACATGCATAGTATAAAACTTATTCAAAAAAATAAAGCATATATGTGGTATCAGTACTATATTCATCCTGAATTCATCCAGTCAAAGATGAAACAAACATTTATGAATTCTCCATTTCTTTTGTCTCATATACCTCACATTTATGAATTCTCCATTTCTAATCCACCAAGAATGATTATATATTTTAATCACCAAAGTATTCATTAAAAATGTAAATATGTAGGATTTCCTCCATAGTCAGTTCCATAGGCCTTTGTTCTTGCATATGATTCCGAATGTTTCACGATAACCATTCCCCATAAATATGGCCAATGACATCTGCATTTTTTAAAGTATTAGTAATATACATTCAAAAATCGGTACTACAGGAACTGATAATATAGATCAAGTCTTACCTATGAGCAGTGTTCTAAAAGGCCCAATAAGGCGCCGCATAGGCGGGCCTAGGCCCAAGGCGGGAACAAAACGCCCCGCTTACCCTAAACGCGTGACAAAAGGCGTGCTGGCCCACAACTTAAATTTTTTTACTGTATTTTGAACCTCACACTCTCGCACACAGCCGCCACTATGCGGTAGTAGCGAACAATTTTAAACCGAGCAGGCTTGGTCACATGCTTGAAGCCAGAGGGACACATCTACTCCGTATTATATAGAGTATTGGGAGATAGAATGCTGTCTCTCCTTCCGGTGTGGTATTTCGTATACTCTGCACCGAGATGAATTGCTTGGTCTTAGGAGTATTGTTCACCACGGTTCTATAATTTGCTCTATTAATATACAATCATTATTACTATTATTATTATTAAGTAATATATATATATATATATATATATATATGCACTATAATATTTACAATAATTATACTAAATTATTATTACTATCATTGTAAGATCATTATTATAAAACCAGTAGTTGATATTTTTATTATTATGTATTGACAATATTGTCATAATGTCATCCACTATTTTTACCAATTCTTAGATATTGGATGCTATGTGCATAAAACATGTGTCGTTTTTAGAAAATAAAAGTTTGTTTTTGTATGTGCATAAAATGTTATGATTTTTTACAAATATTTTCTAATATTACATTTATATATGGAGTATTTATTAACATTTATAAAAACTTAAATACTTTTTAAAAAATTATAACACCTTCCTAGGTTTCAAAGGTTTAAAGCTTGATCGTGCCGAGTCATCACGCCTCATGTTTGTTAGAACATTGATTATATATGGAATCTAATATAGAGTAGTAAAAAGAAATAATATACTCCCTCTGTCCCTAAATTTACTTCCATTTCGCTTTTCGAGAGTCAACTTAAATCACTCTTAAACTCTTACTTTTTGTATCAAAACTTCATGAAAATTGATTTTTTTTGCAGGCTTTGTAGCGGGTTTAATGTAGTTTCTGAATATGTAAATTTTATTTACTAAAAATAATCCGAGTTTTTACAGGGATCATTTAACTTTATCGTCGGTCAACATTCGTAATCCGCAATTGGAACAACATTCAGGGACGGAGGGAGTATCATTTTGTATTTGCACTTTGCATAAATTTAAAAATTAAATATATTGAATAAATTAAAAATTAGGCTCAATCTCGTATAATATATTTTGGACATTTATTTATTTTCTTCGTATATCACCATGAAATATATTAATTGTCAATAAAAAACTAAAACGCCTTTTCACGCCTAGGTCTCGCCTATTCCCGCCTAGGCTTCAAAGGCTTGAGGCTTGGCCTCGACGCCTTGACACGCCTCACGTCTTTTAGAACACTGCCTATGAGTAGTTGATGATTACCCTTCTTGTTATGTTGTGTGCTGCTCTGAGGTTCTTAAGTGATTATCACTACAAAAGAATTGAAAACCTTAGATAAACATTACTAAAAAACACATGATATCAGTAAAATTGAAATGAGATTGGATAAGAACAGCTTGCATCACTGGTTAAAGATACTTGCATAACTGATATTTGCATAAAGAACAACTTATGCTATGTGATATACCTCATCGTAATTTTGCCATTGATCAAGTAGTAGTAGCAAGTGCTTGTGAAATGCTTGCTGGTGGTGTGGTTGGCAACCCCTATTGAGGATATTTATAGTAGCAGAATGGAGTGCTTCTAAGAGCAAATTAGTTTTTAACCATTGGTCTATTGAACCAAAATCTTTACTAAAGATTTTGTAGTACAACTTCATTAATTCGAAATGACACAGGCCAACTTTTTTAAATTAAAGTTAGTCCTTTCTTTATCATAGTGATTCGTGCAGCCCACATTATTTCCTTTTTATTGAGCTTCACAATAATTTATTGGTTATTGTGCATTGCATTTAATGCTTAACAATTTTTGGCCATAAAATAATACGGTATTGCATTTCCAATATCACAGCACATATATTGATCTGTCAGCAAGTCTTGAAAGAGGTTTTTTTCTGATATCTAAGCATTAAAAAGTACAATCAGATTTTTTTTATTCATAAAGACAACAACCATCGACCTGGATGAGAGAGAAAAAGTGTACCCATCAAAACTTTCAAAGAAAACATTAAATGGATTGTCTTGAGCCCCACAATTACAGCATTGAATATTGGGCCAGCATTAAAAACATTGGGCCAGCAAACTGACCCGTTTTGCTCCCATTTGGAACCGACCCGACCCGTTTTGACCCATAACTTTGGGCGGGAACACTGTTCATTTTTTCCACTTCCTTTTGTATAATAGAAGATATCCAATATTTCGACATGAGTACTTGCAAATTCGTATGTGGCTTACATCTTACATATGTCTAATCTCTTCTTTTCTTTAATTGTGAGTGTTCTGACGTACACAGAAATTGAAGACTCTAATCAAGATTTATAGAAAAAAGAAGAGAGACTTTGACTTTGCATCTTAATTTTTGGATAATATTGGACTTTGTTCTCTATGTTTGTTTATTTTTTTACTTTGCACTCCATTACATAACATTTTGTGAGAAAAATTCTGAATGAGTTTCAAAGTCACAGGATTTCTAAGTGAAATGAGGTGCAAAGTCAAAGTTTTAAAAAAATGAGGAGCAAAATTCAATATCACCCAAAAGTAAGGTGCAAAGTCAAATTATTCCCAAAAAGAAATAATGATCGCGTATTGTAAAAACTAGAGTACTGTCACAATTTGTGGTACTTCAGGTTAGAATTTATTTGTTTGTTTGGCTTATTTTTGTTTTGTTTTGCCGTTTTCATTTTTCATCTCTCACTCTTGTAATTTCTCATACTTCAATAACTTCATCATTAATAAAAAATCTATTTTTTCCATAAAAAATACTCCGTACATGAACAACTATTTTCTACAGAGTATATCATAGACTTTGTTTAAAAGATTTTGTGACTTTACTTTTAAAATCATTAATATGTGGTTCTATTTATTACGGAGTACGATTTTTATACACATTTTAATTATACAACTTTTAATTTTCTAATTTCACAAGTTAGTTTAAATTAACAATGTACAATCAAACACAATTAATAATTTAATATTGTCTTTGAATAAACATTTGATTGAGTGTTTATTATCTATCGACACATGTCACATGTGGTGAACTTTTGATGTGCGTACAAAACCAATAAATATTTTGTTATACGTGGGAAGATATTTTTGCTTGAAATATTTTTTAAATGTAATAAAACTGGGATTGTAAATGGTGAAGTACGGAGCAAGACTTTTCGTAATTTTCCCACCCTAAAACCCATTAGGAACATATTCTTCTCTTCATTTTCAGGCCGCAGCTAAGCCAAGTCGCGAGGTTTCCCTCCACATTAGCCACCGTAAACCACCGAACCCGGACTGCCAAACACGCTGTCGCCGTCGGCACTGCCATGCCGACTTTTACCAGCATCGCTCTTGAGAACCTACTCGAACCGCGCCTTCGAGATTCGCACCAAAAGCCTTTGTCCTCAGAGCAAATCACGATATCGCCGCGCGGCACCAACGGCGGGACTGCTAAGGATGAAGCCGGGTTAGAAGGGGCGGAGAATACGAAGCATCAACCTCTGAATCACTATTGCATATCTCCGGCTCTGTATATAACGTCGGACCCTACACCGATTCCCGATGCCTCATCTGGGTCCGTTTCGCCCTCTCCCTATGTGGCCAATCGCAAGAGGCGCAGCGGAGGGAATATGGCCAACCGGAAAATAGACGAATTTGATGATTCGGAAAGGAAGGAAGGTGAGAAGGACGACGAACAGAATGAATCGACTTTCCAGGTTAGGGATACTATGGAAGCGGAAGCCATGGAGGATTTAGTATTTGGTACTCCGGAGGTAAGCGCAGATCGAATCAAGGGGCTCGAGCTAAGGGATGGAGTGTATTTAAATCCGAAGTGTGATGTATTACTTGTAGGAAGTGCGAATGAGACGGTAGAACTCGATTCCCAGAGCTTTGCATCTACCCAAGGAGACTTTTTCGATGCAAATGAAGGTGAACTGTTCTTACCCCTTGAGAAGATATACATAATTTTATGTTTTAACATCTTCTGCTTGTCTTATGGTACTGAAACTTATTGGCGTGTCTGTTTCTGCTTTTACCTGCGTTTTACGGATGTGGATATTGATTTCCAAATTGTATAGTTATTTACATAATACTTTATCGACATGTAATTGTGTAAAGTTTATATGGAGTATGTTATAATTGTTCCAGAAAAAACCTACCACTAGTCCAGCTAAGGCAGTAAAGGCTGTTCTATAATATAGACAGCATATTGCCGTATAGATATACAGATTGCATATATTTTCTGGTTAGGCCTGCTTTTGTTATTCTTCCTCACTACAGAAGTGATGATTATATGATCTTCAGTGTTATTTTCAGACTTCTCCGATGGGTCTGCTTCTAGTGTGTCATCATATATAGTTACCATGGAATCCGAATTACGAACCACAAGGCTCCAGCTCCTTCAAGAAATAGAAAAAAGGAAGGATGCTGAAAATACTCTGAATATGATGAGCTGCCAGTGGCAAAGGATCAGTAACATTTTATCTGAGGCAGGATTAAAGCTTCCTTCACCATCATCGGTCATTGGTGGTATGGAACCTGACCCAAACTCAATTGAAGACATATTACAAGAAATAATTGTGGCTAGGTTCGTTTCTCAAGCTGTTGGAAAAGGTCAAGCACGTGCTGAAGTTGAACTAGCTGTAGAGGCAATCATTGAATCAAAGAGCCAGGAAATCTCTCGTTTAAGAGACAGGTTAATGTATTATGAGACTGCTAACCGCGAAATGTCCGAGAGGAATCAAGAAATCCTTGGTATGCTTTGTTTCTTCAATTCTCCTTTGCTTAATTAGTTGCCAGTGATTGCATTTTGAGATCAAAGTGTGCTTTATGTGCCTCTGTGTGTTTAGAGTGTGAGAATGAGGTCGAGTATATGTGTGCATGTAGTTAGAGTTAACTCACCCCAAAAGGAACGTCAAGAGATTAGACCTCATACATATATCTGACATAGAGCAGGGGGGTACTTGTATGATACATTAATTGAGATAGATAGGTGAGCCTAACTACTCATAAGTTACGCCTAACTCAACTCAAAAAAGGACCCTCAAGGAACATAGATGAGCCTAACTTCTCATAAGTTAAGCCTAACTCACCACAAAAAAGGACCCTCAGATGAGGTGACACCTCATACTTATACGTAGTATATTAGACACAAATTGGTTATACATCCACAAAGCATATCTAGAAGAATTCATTTTTCATCTTCATGCTCTATGTCATGCAGATCTCATAATCATTGTTATTGTTTGCTGATGTAAATCATGCAGTCGATTTGTCCACAAAACATATCTAGAAGAATTCAATTTTTATTAGAGAAAACAGTCAACTAAGCCCTCGAACTATTTACGTTTTTGCAATCAGGCCCCTGAACCGGAAGAAGTACAAATACACCCCTCAACTCATTGAAAATCAAGCAATCAGGTCCTTTTTTACCCGCTGGTGTCTCATAATACAATGATATGTAGCTTCTCATCTCTTTACTTGCATCGGCAGGTAAAAAAGGACCTGATTGTTTGATTTTCAATGAGTTGAGGGGTGGGTGTATTTGTACTTCTTCCGGTTCAGGGGCTTGATTGCAAAAACGCAAATAGTTCGAGGGCTTATTTGCCTGTTTTCTCTTTTCATCGTCATATGTGATGTCCCAAACTCTTCATCCGACTAAGGCTTGGGTGTTGTTGATGATGTTCTATGTATTGCAGATCTCATAATCATTGTTCTTTTTTGCTGATGTAAACCATGCAGATACTGCAAGGAAGCAACACCAAAGGCAGATGACTCAGCAGAAGTTATGGAGCTGTGTAGGACTTTCAGCCGTAGTTGGCATTTCAGTGGCTGCCTACTTTTACCTGTCAAAACCAGGTCACCACCAACTCACATCAAGATCTGGACATTCAACAGCAGGCGATGTGTGACTCAGGTACTTGGAATTAGATTAGTGCAAGAGTTGTTCAGATTTATACAGTCAACCTCATCCTGTTGTTGCTGCTGCTGCTGCTTTTTCACAGTTGGTATATTAAGTTGCTCACAACCAATGAGGCTTGATATCAGTTTTGCGTGGCTAATTGTTGATGGTCTACAGCTATAATATTGCATTCGTTAAGCCCATTTCTTTTATTATTAAGATTGAGTGTGTAGAACGTAAACCATCTCAACAATTGATTCGGTATGGATTACTGTTGTTACAGAAATTAACCTATATAGTTGTAAAAACAATATGAAATTCCAAAATATGATTACTATATTTTTTACCAAAATAGGACAGTATTTTACTCCTATTTAGGGGGAAAATGTTGTTCTCATATTTTAGAATTTTATACTCCGTATTGTTTTTTCTCCTATTTTGGGAGACTTCCCATTGCGCTTATAAAGTTTGTTACAGAATGGCTTGAATAAACGTCAACTTCCCTTGGCTTCAACACTTGTGGTTCTTTTATACTTCGATTCACATCTTCTGTACTCCAGAGGAAACTCAGGAAACAAGTTTTCTTTTATTGTGGCCTTGTCGGGAAAGGCCTACTGTTTGCCTTTTAGATGATTTTTCTCTTTTTCAAATCGCAAAAAAATAAGGTAGCACGGTGCACATATTGACATCCCTTCAAAATGAGGGTCCAAGTCCACAAAGGGATATAAGAGCATACTTTTCTTTGTCATTTTGACTAGGGTGGGTTCGGTTCAAACGGTTCGGTTTTCACCTAAAACCAAATGTAGAATCAAAGTAAAAAGTTCGGTTCGGTTTTATGTTCAAAAATTTGGAACCATGGTTTGTTCAGTTCGATTTATTTCGGTTCGGTTTCGATTTTTTCGGTTTTTACCAAAATATTTTTGATTAGAAAAATAGTAATTGGAAAACAAAAGCAAAAAAAAAAACTATATCAAACTAGTATTAATAGTTACGCAATACAAAAACATGCATAACTAAAAAAAGAGAAGAAACAAATGCATTTCCAAATTCCAAGCAATGAATTAAGAGTATGTGTATACCAATTTAAACATTTTCTAAATTAATTAAATGCGTGAGTTTATTTGTGAATTATATACAGTGTATTCACAAGTTAAAATTTTATTAGTAAATAACTTCTATTTTCATTTTAGACAAAGATATTTATGCTCTAAAGTTTCACGTTTTTTGCCATATTGTTTAAAGTATAGTTTATATTAACACATATTTGTTCAATATAAACAACTGTGTGATAACAAATATATATACATAACATATACATAGTAATATTTCAACAAAATATCATTATCATGCACCAACAAGCAATTAAGCAAAATGTAAATTACAATTTAAACTATCAACATATTAGTATTATAGCAATAGATTTAAGTGTATGTACAAATGTTTCACTTAATTAAACCAACCATAAATATTAAATGTCAATATCTTGCAAATCATAATAAATCTATTATAAAAAACACATTAGTTTTCTAGAATTAAGAACTAAACAAATATGTAATGATTAATAAATATAATAACTAGTTTTCAAAAGTTCAGTTTATTCGGTTCAGTTTTGAGATGTGAAAACCAAAACCGAAACCAAACAACTACGATTCGGTTGTTTTGGTTGCGGTTCGGGTTTTTTCGATTCGGTTTTCGGTTTCTCCGACCCACCCCTAATTTTGACACAAGACGGCCACCAAAATCATAATACAAAAATATTTATAAGCAACCAGACCAACACCCGGTGACAGATGAAGTCCTTTTTTATTGCAAAATCTAAATTTATGTCTGAATGAATACATAGACGCTGTCAAGTTCATCCAATCAGGAAAGATCATCTAAAACAGCAACGGTTTAGAACACAGAGCACATATAACACTGACAATTGGACAGAGAAGCGTGTCATGGGAACATCTATTACTTATGGCGGCTTTACACTAAGGAATTCATAGCAATGGAACTTCAATACTATGTTGGATGAGGAAATCAGACTTTGAGTTGCTGGCTCCTCATTGACTTTGAGTTCCCACTGCAAGATCATGCCAAGTATCACCTTCCACTTGTTGAGCCTCTTGATCTGTAAAAGACAGAAGTTTGCATCATTTGATTTTGTTTGAAGTTCAACATAGGTACTCCTAACTCTTAGAAACAAAGAAGACAGGTTTTTGTGTTTCTCATCTAATCTGAAAAAAAAAAACATGTATATTCATGCATGACATCACACGCTTCAATTTCCTAGAGCAAAATGAGTACTCCAAAAGAAGAAAGAACCCCTGAGGAGGCTAAAACATACTCCCTCCGTCCCAGAAAATTCTTCCAACTTTGAGTTGGATCGCATATTTAGGTAGTGGAATAAAGTAGAAATGTATGGTTGTAGTTGTGTAAGAAAAAGGTGAAATGAATGTGAGCCACACAAATAATAAAAAAGGTGAAGTTGGAAGAATTTTCTGGGACATCCCAAAAAGGAAAGTTGGAAGAATTTTCTGGGACAGAGGGAGTACATATCAAATATAGCTCAAATATTCGATTTCACAGCCAGTATACAGTTAACTGCGAAGGAGCATAAAAGTTTATTTTGTGAAATTAACAATAATCAGAAACCACTTCCATAAGCCCTCATCTACAAAACAATGGAATGCAGTAAAGGTTGTAATAATGGTTGATGACTTACGGAATATGAAAAAAATGCTAATACCATTATCAATTACTAGTTTGTTCAAGTTTTTTTTAGGGAAAATAGCAATCCAGATTCTAGAATTTAAAATGCAAAAACAAAATAAAAGTAGACTGTTTAGGCGCCTACTCTAGAGTGAGTGTACACTATGTCCCTATTCCTATGAAGTGAGCATGTTTACCGCACTTAGTGTCAGATCTAGCACCTAACTTTGTGTATTTGAAATCACTTCACGATTACAATGTTGAAAAACAGTACAACTTGATGCAAAAGTTATATGCTGAACAAGAGTGGTTCTGCCACTTGCTGCACTAAATAAACGCGGAGGAGTTTTATGGAATGTATCTTCCTATTAATATTATATTATTAGTATTAGTTTACTATTCAGTTTTCATTTTATTATTATCAACATGATATTATTATTTCCTTATTCAGTAATCATCATATTATTGTTCTTTATTCAGCTGCTTGAGTCAACTTGTTATTAGTTTCATAATAACATTTCCTAGTATGATAAGGGCTAGCATAATAGTTATATAAGAGACTTGGTATTGATTCATTATTCATAAGCTAGTTTTTAGAAAATCAATTCTTGTGGCTTGAATGGTCAGGCACCTATTGATGCATAGATCTATAATATATTTTTTCCATCCAAATCTTAGAAGAGATCCCAACCACTCATAACATTTGATATTAGAGCTCTTTCCTTCATCTTCTTCCTTAGCTACTTTTTTCCTTTACAGACTAAAAAACAAGAAATAAACAGCACTAGCAGACAATACTTCTACTGTAGGATACCAAGCCTTGCCAGCAAAGTGCAGCACAGGTCCTTCCTAAAAATACCACTAACAGCAGAAGAGCAAATCACTGCTATCGGTCCCAAAGAGACAGCGATTTCGCTACTGACCAGCAGCCAGAAGTTAGAGTAAGAATTAGGGCTGCCGACAAAAAAACAGAAATCAGCCAGCACGTCTATGAGCAAAGCTTCTGGCTCGCTAAAATCTTGCATCAGACATGAAGAATGATGACACAATAATGGCAGTACTCCATCTTGCACTTTCACATATGCCCAACAAGAACGTTCAAGCACAAAGTTTAGAAAACAGAATGTCAATCTCTGAGACAAGTCAGACAATGATACATATTGTTACCTGCATGGAGGATCTTACTACTGCTACAAAAACCTAGCTTATGTCCTTACTGATCCAATGCAGGCTTTCTCAACCACCATGGAGGATCTTACTACTGCTACAAAAAAAACTTGCTTTTGTAGTTACTCCTCCTTCGTTGAACTCCCTAGATGATGGATCTAATATACGAGTTCCATGCTAGATATTTACAATCCGGTCCAATGTAGGGTTGCCTTCTTTAATACTTCAAAAGATTGGGCATAAGAATGTAAGAGATTTCCGTTTATTTCAGGAAATGTCATCATATTTACACGTGAGTAGTTCCTTCAGCTCACTGTCCACTTGAAACACATTCTATGAGGTGCAATTTGCATCTTGTTGAATTCAAATCATCCCATATGAATTACGGAGTATACAATTGTGAATATGATTGAGGAAAAGCTTGACATTCCATATTACTCTCCTTCAAACTTGAGGACAAGCTCAATGTCCTCGACCGGAGTAATAATGTGAGCATGTTTTGTTTGAGATTTGTGGTAACTGAATGTGGAGAAGCATTCTGAAAAGAATCTCCCTAAAGATTATTATATTATATTGTTATGAGTTTCCTAGTATTAGTATATGTAATGGTGTTAGGGACTTATAGGCTTTTGACTATAATATACACTAATAAAGAAAAATTGCCAACTAAAACATGCACATTTCTTTTTTGATCAGTAGGTACATATTTTGAAAGTGAAAATTTATGATTATGCCACTGAAGTAGATGAATAACCAGTATACCAAACACTAATCCGACTCCACCACCTAGATCGCCACTGCCGCCACCGCTACTAAAACACAACCCCAAACTTGTTAACTAAACCATAGAGGGGTAACTAAACTCTAGAAGGGCTAGCATATAAAAAACTATCTAAATAGACCTCTTGGTAAATAAATTAGACATGGCTGCAGTTACTTTTCAGAAAAAATAAGGGAGAATTTGACTTTGCATCCCATGTTTTGGGTGATATTTGACTTTGCACCATATTTTCAAATTCATTAATGTATGCACCCCAATTCACTATAAAATCATTTGACTTTGCCCCTAACTACTACTCTCTCCGTCCCTAAATAAACTTCCAACTTTCCTTTTTCGTCCGTCCCAATTAAAACTTCCACTTTCCCTTTTTGGTAAAGAATTTGTGGTTTACAACATTTCTTACGCATTTCTCTCTCCTCTGCACAACTCTCCACCATACAATACCCACTATCTTAAACTGTGTGCCCAACGCATTTGGAAGTTTTATTAGGGATGGATGCAGTACAATTTTTGGGCTGATGAGAATGAGATGCATACATTAATGATTTTAAAAATGATGTAAAGTCAAATATCAACCAACATGGGGTGCAAAGTCAAATTCTCCCAAAAAATAAAGCGAGAAGACCTACCGAGAAAAATAGCCATTGAACATTTTCGCATCTCTTAGCCATATAATTATTATTATTATTATTATTATACATATAATAACTATCACTACTACTACTATTATTATTAGGATTAATACTATTTCTTTATTCAGTTTTAGCCAACGTCTTACTATTTATTTTTGGGGAATTTTGAGTTTGCACCCTACTTTTTGGGTGATATTGGACTTTGCACTCCATTTTCAAAACTTTTAGACTTTGCACCCTATCTACAACATTTTGAGAAGAAAAATTCTTAAATGGGGTGCAAAGGCAAAGACATTTTAGGGGAAATAGGATGCAAAGTTTAAAAGTTTTGAAAATGGGGTGCAAAGTCCAATATCACCCAAAAAAAAACGGGGTGCAAAGTCAAAATATCCCTTTATTTTTCCTACTAAACTGATTAGGGCTTTTGATGTAATAATAGGAATATAATAGTTTAATAAATTAATATAGAGAAAGAAATAATTCTGATGGTAATATATAGACCGCAAATTATTCTAACTTACAAAACCCAACGACTTATCATTTATCAAGTCAAGTTAGTCAGCACTTTAACCTGAAATCTCTTCTGGAAATATGCTTACATTACTTTTCATGTATTGAAATACTATGACTGACTGGAACTTATGAAGTAGATATTGTTTTGCAATATACGTCGTAGAAGGCATATTCAAAGTATTTTCCCAATAGAATTCCCAGAAAATCTTACTTGTATCGTCAGGATCGTCCGTTCGCGTAAGCAGCTCAGCCGGGAGCGGTAAATCTGCAAATGCTAATCTAGGGTTACCTTCGTATTAACGCAATTTACTGATAAGAATAAATAAAATTAAAGCATGACAAATTAAATTAGGACATGAATGAGATACCATCGTCGGGCAGAGTGTCTCTCATCCAGTCCTCGTCAACAATGTCAATTAGAATTCCCAAACTCAACTGCTCCGCCATAGGGCCGCTGGAACAAGTTTAGGTAGGGATAATGGACGAAAGATGGTGATTTGATCTGAAATAAGCAGGTTTATTATGACGGCGGGGAGTCGGCCACACCTGATTTTTTAAGAATTATCCCAGCAGCGAACGGCGGGGAGTCGGTCAGTTCCTTCGTTCGCTGCAGCAAGTGAACTGACCCCGTCGGTCACACCTGTTTAGAAAGGACTTCAAGATTCAATTTAACGAAGGAACAAGTTAGAGTCTTACCTGATTCGAGGAAGCTTGGACAAGTTTATCTCACGGCCTAAAACACTCCACTTGCTGCAGGAAGCTCCAAAATCGGGAGACGCCGAGATTTTTTGAGAGCTTTTTTTTCGAGTTTTTCCCGGTATGATGCTTGAATAAAAAAGAGTTTTGATAGAGCACACAAAATGTGAAAATGTGTATACATGTTTGTCCGTCATAGAAATTTTGAGTTATCTGTGAAGGATAACTCAAAATTTCTGTGAAGGACAGATATGTATACACATTTTGTGTACCTCAAACATTTTTCGATAAAAATATATTTCCCAAACTAGTGTCATGCTAAGAATATTTTCAGTGCTGTTGAATTGTACCTAAATATGATTGGCGGAAGTACTTTTAACCCAACCTTTATTTTAACCTTACTATATTTCCCAAAGTAGTGTTGGGAAATACATTTAACCCAACCTTTATTTGGAAAATGTTTTTTTATTTAACATTATTATGAGAAAAAATTCCGCTTTTTGCAAGGGCATTTTTGCACTTCTAGAAAAATATTACCCGGAGTATATAACAATCATTTTTTTTATCAAATACTTCAATTTTTACTTTTTAATCAGTATCACTTACATAGTAGAAGAAGTTTTGAAAGAAGGGCAAGTCTCTTTTATTATAAGAGATCTGCGAACCATGTTGCTCATACATTAGCTAGGCAATGTGTGTTATTACTAGACCAGGTTAGCTAATTTGATAATATTTCAGTGTTGTAAGCTAGCTGGCGAACGATTTATTGGATTAATGACACGGTTCTGTTTTGCTTTAAAAAAATCAGTGTCATTTGTATTCTCAAATACTACCTATTTTTACTTTGTAGAATAAATCACCTTTTCACCAATCTATTAAATAAATCATTTTTAGACACAAGCACACCCCCTTATCAAAGTCAATTTGCACAATAAAATAAAATAAAATAATCTTTATAATTTTTTAAAAATAATAACTTTATCATTAATATTAACTTTTAACACATTTTTATAAACATAAATGAAAATGACGTTTTTTAGAATAATTTTAAAAAGAAATGTACCAAAGCTTTTAGGTGTGATAAATTCTTACTCCCCACCTTCCCTTAAAGATCTGTCAAGTTTGACCGACACATAGAATAATAAAGTAAAAACTGTGCAACAGAGATTTGTATAGAGAAGAGAAAAATAACAAAAACTACAAATTAACTGATTAAAAGGGGAAATGACAAAGTTTTTTAAACAACTAAAAAGAAAAGTTAGCAAAGTTATAAGAGATGGAACGATTAATAGTCTTAGCCAAATTAATCACATCTCTTAGTAGCGCTATAGGCAATAACCCCAGAATATAAAAGCAATTTCATAACCTTGATCTATTTTTAGTTTTTCACTCTTATCGACATTTTTACTAAATAAATTACTTTTGATTTTGCGCATTGAATTTTTTAACAATCAAAATAATTATGGTTATAATTAATTTTTAGCTAAACTAGATGAAGTTATTGTAAACGACCATTAGTTATTCCCATATAATGTTTTCTTTATTTAATTAATAAAATATATTTTAAATATAATTTTCTATAATTCAGCAAATTCAACCATTTCAATATTACCAAATGAGCTCTAAATCTCTAGTCTTGCAAACAATATATTAATATGAAGTACAACCAAAATAGAAGTAAAGATGGCTAAAGTGTAAATAATTATATAGAGGCCGTTTGGTAACACTGTTTTTCGGCTTTTCAGGCTTATCAGCCAACTTTTTCACCAAACACGTAACTTTTGCTTTCGCGCGCTGAATTGTATAATAAGCAGAAAAGGTAGGGTTAGAGTTACTTTTCTGGCTGTATTGACTGAAGTTATTGTAGATGACCATTTTAGCTATTTTTACATATAATTTTTTCTTTATTTTATTAATAAATATATTTTAAAAATATGTTTTCTTGAACAAGCAGAATCAGTCAATGCAGTCACTTTAGCCAGAACTTTATAAATTTCAGCAGAATCAGCCAAATCAGCCGATTTTCGTGCTACCAAACGGGCTCGTAAGCTTTGAACTCCTTAAGCTCCAAATCCCGTAATAATTCTAATACTCCGTACATCACTTCTGCCTACTAAATGACTATGGAAATGAAGGCTGATGTCAAAGGCGGATCTATAAATATAGGAACTTGACAAACTGGCTTAAGAAAATCGTTTAAGAAAACCTTCCAAATTCATGTGTGATTACTAACATAAGACCTCCCACTATGATATACTTGGATCACCCTACTATTATCAAATTGTCACAATATTTTGTTAGGTCTAACACAAGTGTCTCAGTTATTATGTGTATAGTTTTGTTCAACTTTTGCCTTCACGATATTCAATAGCTTACGGTCACGCCAACCTTGGGTGTGGCACTTTTTCCTTTTGTTATGTGATTAGTGCCAACTGATTGATTTGAGTAATAATCTATTTATGAAATTAAATCCGTACTACTATTTAGGTTGTAGGGGGGAGAGGAGATAAATGGATGACTCTTTATTTGCAAATTTCGAATTACAACGTAAAATTTTGGGGTCCAACATAAAGCCGACTTTGTGCAATTACAATTATAACACCAGCCATTTTTTGGTGAAAATTGACACAGTTCATGGAGATCGTATTACACCTATTTGGTCCATCACTACGCCTAAAAATGTTGCATGACAAGGAAAAATCATTAATTGCCTTTGTGATCAACCGCAATTTTTAAAACGCGACGATTTGGACCTCTGTGTGTAATTAGACAACGCCATAAAGGCATAAATATGTTTACTTTTGAGCTTCACCGAAAAAACGAGAAACAATGGCCGGCAATAAAAAGTAACCCATGATTGACTTACGTGTGACGGAGCAACGAAGTAGCTCAATTTATTTTTTACCATGGTCTCATGCTTTGACAAAGTTCCTAGAGTCTTTGAATAAAGTGGGTCATATTAATCCACTTTGTAATAGTTTTTCCAGACGTGCGTCTAGTCCATGATGGCGTCCACATGATAGATTGTGACCATCATTGGACATGTCTTTAGCCTTTAGGTGATCTCGTCGCATCATGCCGAAATAGGTAAGGATCATTAGAATAGTAATACTTCACATCACTCAACAATTCCTTTATTAAATCGAAAGTTTTTGTGGAAGAATATCTTTCACAATCTAATTCATAAAATCCGTGAGTGATCTTTTCATAGCCATAATTTGTTAAGTTCATATATGAGAAACCACCGTCTATCACCTTCATGTTGGTTGATGCATTAGCTTGAAGGTGGAAGAAACATATGGTAAAGAAAATATATATGCGTTTTTATTGAAGTGCAAACCATTTCATTAGTAAACAATATATTTTTTTAATTTCTAAAACATGGTTTAATAATGATTTGCTACATCCATCATAGGTAAAGATTGTCATCCACTATTCCTTGTTCAACATAAATGATTATAAATATATTACTATATATATTCAACTTTTTTCAAATTTGAGTTATTTTGCGACTATACAAAAACTTTTCATATAGTTTCTAAATATGTAAATTTCATTTATCAAAAACAATCTTATGATTGATAGTGATCATTTATCTTTATGACTAATCAGACATTGTAAACCGAACAGAAACCTTTATTCGGGATAGAGGGAGTACTTTTAATATATTTGTACATTTAGTCATTATATTTGTACACTTAGTCATTAGTATTTTTTAAAATGTAATGCAAAAAAACTCATTGCCTAATTCAATCCTTAGTTGTTTTTTCTTTTTCATTTCAAAATCCAAATACTTAGTAGAATGTAACGAACACATGGGTGGGCCAAGGAGGATTTATTGTTTAAATAAAATTCTAGAGAAAAGTACAAGAAAGTATGTGATTGGACTTATTTTCATATAGAGACCCGTGTTTCAATTCCACTATCACAAGAGTGTCTAGTTCCAAACATAGTCCCATTATTATTATTTTTAATTTTTGCCAGTCCCAAGCTGAACCAAAAAAAAAACTAGTCACGACCACATCAGTGCCGAACCCAGTCCGAGCCCAAACTGTGCCAAATCCAGTTTCGTACCAAGCCAAACCGCCGGACCAAGTCCATGCCTAAGTGAAGGTAGTAGATAAAAGGATCACCATTAAGCTTTTTGTGCATTCAACTCATATTCAGTCAAAATCACCCAGCCCAAGTAACTTTCAAATCCAAACTTCATGTTTACTATACTTGGCTCAAATCAAATAACAAGAGGCAACAAGAGGCCCAAAATGACAATACAAGACAAAATATTAACAGCAAAGGAGAATGCGAAAAAATATCATAAATGTACAAAATTAGTCAGCTAATTGAACGATAGAAATAAAAGGCAGGCACATCAAAATGGACCTAGTGTACAGAAAATGTGAGATAATATACATACAAGATTTTAATTCACCGTCACCTCACTACATTTTCACTTGTTGCTGGTACCTGTGTTGGGTAATCAGACATTTGAATATCAATGACTGAGAGATCATATGGAAGAGATGTGTCTACTTCTAATGAAGCGTTTCTTGTCACGATTTTTGGGGTAATTATACTGGTATCCAGAATTTCAGGACTAGAGCTGCCAGAAGACGAGACACTTGGTAACTGAATATCTTCCAATTTATTGCCAAACACACTCTGGTTTCTTCTAACAGAGTCCATCTCTGTGCCAGTTGGGACAAAAGTGCGTGCCCTATACTTCTTGGATCCTTCTTCGCCCTCACTATTATTGTATAACACATAGTCATGATATGTTGGTGCAAACTGCATTTATAAGATTAGAAAAGAATATTTAGAATATGATAAAATGAGAAACTAAAGATGACCCATAAATAGAGTACGTGTGATATGCACCTGATGCACTGTGTCATGGTAAAAATCGTTTAGTTTAAGGGCATGTGTGAGGCTTGCACTGAAGGAGCCAGAAACACCTATATTTGCACCAGCGTATTCCTTGTATGGAAAGGCATAAAGGTGACCAACAGCTGCAATAAGCATTTCGACGCATATTATGAAATCTTGAAACTTTGCAGCTTCTTCTGCATCCTTTATAAACCCAGACTTTGCGGCAAGAAAAACCAAAACACCCTGATGAAAGAAAGTTTACAATTACAGTCATCAGCGGGGCTGTAAGTTGAATAAAACTTTAAATTCCAAATGCACTAGCAGTCAAATTATAAGATAAATTCTTAAACTGTAAACATATTTATAGTTTGGTATTAGAAATGAAAACA